GTTGTTCCGACTGCCGACTGCACTTAACAGGTGATGGTCCTTGACTTCTTTAGTTCACATCTCTTTCCTGTACTTCCTGGGGCCCTACTCTACTTCATCCCCTTTCTAGCCCAGCTTAAATATCCACTGCTGGGCGGCGTTTGGTACTGCTGCTCATCTCTGCTCCTCCAACAGGACAAGCTCCGACTCTGCTCTTCACACAAGTGTAATGAACCCCAACCCCCAAGACACTTATCCAGGCCCCACACCTCCCAGTGTCCTGCCCAGCCGCCGAGGAGGTAGGTGTTCCTAGGGAGTAGCTGTGGAGCTTTTTACTAAAGCAGGCAAACAAGTAGGCACTGTAACCAACCCCATTGCATCCCGTGCAGGTTTTCTGGATGGTGAAATGGATGCTAAAGGTATGTGCTCTTTACCAATTATGGGTCATGAATGCCAGATATCAGGGACTTTGTTTGGGGTCAGGGAATAGGATTCCCTCTTGCCTGCCTCTACTTCTTGTCCTGCCTTACTGGCTCCTCCTCCAACCTCCCCATCACCAGTCTCTCTCTTTCAAGTCCCTGCTATTGAGGAGAACTTGGTAGATGACAAGCATTTGCTGAAACCTTGGGATGCTAAGAAGGTAGGTAAGGGCCACTGGGTGTCTTCCACTGTCCCTGGGACAGGCCTTCCAGGGCTCCCACTGAGGTCTGTCCTCATTTCTAATCCTCTTCCTTCTCTCCTCAGCTGTCCTCATCCTCCTCTCGACCTCGATCCTGTGAAGTCCCTGGAATCAAGTAAGTACCACTACACAACTGGAGTGACATTGAGGGAGGAAGGAGATGTGGAAGACTGACATCTGCTCTTCTCTGACCACTTTCTCTTCACGTCGATCTTCTGTCCTCCCTAGCATCTTTCCATCTCCTGATCAGCCTGCCAGTGTGCCTGTCCTCCCACCTGCCATGAACACGGGAGGTTCCCTACCTGACCTCACCAACCTGCACTTCCCCCCTCCGTTGCCCACTCCCCTGGACCCTGAGGAGACAGTCTACCCCAACCTGAGTGGGGGCAACAGTACCTCCAATTTGACCCACACTATGACCCATTTGGGCATCAGTGGAGGTCTGGGCTTGGGCCCCAGTTATGATGTACCAGGTGAGTGGCTACCTTGTTCTGATCGTGTGACTATCAGCTGCTGCCTGGCTAGAGGGTAAAGGGGAAGGAGGCTTGCTTGATCTGGGATCCTGTGACTGCCCATCAATCCCCACACCCCAGAACCCCTCATTGCAATTTTCACCCAGCAAGAATGGATAGGAGAAAGATGGAGAATAACCCCCAAATGGGTAGTACCAATCTCACTGTTAGAGACAGAATAGGGAGGACCTTGTGTTGCCATAGTCTGGTCACTGCTACCCATTCTGGGCGGAAAGGGGCCCAGTTCCCATCAGTAATGTTGGCATCTCTGGTTTTTTGTCTGTGTCTGCAGGACTTCACTCACCTCTTAGCCACCCATCCCTGCAGTCCTCCCTAAGTAATCCCAACCTCCAGGCTTCCCTAAGCAGTCCTCAACCCCAGCTCCAGGGGTCCCATAGTCACCCATCACTGCCTGCCTCCTCCTTGGCCCACCATGCACTGCCCACCACTTCCCTGGGCCACCCGTCACTTAGTGCCCCAGCCCTTTCCTCCTCCTCTTCCTCTTCGTCCACTTCATCTCCTGTCCTGAGCGCCCCCCCTTACCCAGCTTCTACTCCTGGGGCCTCTCCCCGCCACCGCCGTGTGCCCCTCAGCCCCCTGAGCTTGCCCGCGGGCCCAGCCGACGCCAGAAGGTCCCAACAGCAGCTGCCCAAACAGTTTTCGCCAACAATGTCACCCACCTTGTCTTCCATCACTCAGGTATGCGTGGCTACCTCCCCTGCATTTGTTTCCCTTCTTCTCCTTCCTGTGCTGTGCCCCTTGTCTCTTCCATCCCCTTCCATTCCTCTGCTCTGTCCCAACCCATCTTTTATCTATCTTGTCCCCTCTTTGCCTAAGAGTGCGAACTCTGGCATTAAGCCTTTGATTTCACATCTTAGTTCTGCCTCTTGACTTTCCTCCATTCAGAAGTTACTGAACTTCTCTGAGCCTCAGCGGTCTCATTTAGAAAACAAAGGTGGTTTTGTAAGCACCAGATACATACCATACACAAAGTATTTAGCATCACGCATAGCACAGGCACCAGTATAGCTTACCCGTTTGTCCTTCTCCTTTCTTTGTTCTTATCTACCTCCTCTTTGCTAGTTTACCATATCCCCAGTCACTTCTGTCCTGTCCCATCTCTCTACCATTTCCTCTTCTTTACTAGAATTCAGAGTCCAAGAGTCTCCGACCACAGAACCCAGTCCTTTCACATTGTGTAGATGAAAACCTGGTGCCTGCAGTGACAATCACTTCCCAAGGTTTACACAGCTCATCTGGGCTTGAGTTGACTAATTAGTTGAGGCTGGCCTGGAACATCTGATCCTTCCTGCCTCTGCCTTCTAAGAGCTTGGATTACAGGCATGACCTCCCATGCCAAGCTTTCTTTTCTTTTCTTTTTTCTTTACAAGCTTGCCTCCATGCTAAGGGAGTTCTTACCTCCCTCTCCATCTTAAAAAAAATAAAATAGTTCTCCAACTTTTCCTTCATCCTATTCCTTTCCTCTCTGCCCTCCTCTGTCCTGCTCCATTACTGTTTCCTGGATGTATGCTCTGTGTTTCATCTTTACACTCTACGGTAGGGAGGACTAGCCATGCCAACAAGGGCAGTTTGCCCTCCGCATCTCTTTTACTTCCTTCCTCTGGCTCCCTCTGGCCTCTCCAGGGCTTCAGAACAGCAGCTCATCCTCCTGATAGTCAAGTACCCAGTTTATGAACGCTCACTTTAGAGTGAATTTGAGTTGTCTATTGTTAGCCACATTAGCACCTAAGTTTTGATACGCATTTCGTATAATTTCCACCAACTCTCAGAATGCCATGGGAGCATAGGGTGTTGTTGTTTTGGGGGTGAGAGTGGGGAGACAGCTCCCACTTTCAGCATGGTAGGTCCAGGCTCAGTCTTCCTTCCTCAAGCTCCTGAGTGCTGGTTTTCCAGGCATTGCCCCAGTGCGCCTGGCTCGGAGCACTGCCATGTTTGTGTTGTGGACAGGTGGCCTAGCTTAGAGGGTGGGGAGCTCTGACTGAGAGTTCTTTGAGGGGTCACAATAAATTCCCCCCTTTTTTTCTTTTCAGGGCGTCCCCTTGGATACCAGTAAACTGCCTACTGATCAGCGATTGCCCCCATACCCATATAGCCCCCCAAGTCTGGTTATACCTACCCATCCATCCACCCCAAAATCTCTACAGCAGTTGCCCTCTCAGGCCTGCTTAGTGCAGTCCTCAGGGGGACAGCCCCCAGGCAGGCCGCCACATTATGGGGCACTGTACCCACCTGGGCCCGGCGGGCATGGGCAACAGCCTTACCACCGGCCAATAAATGACTTCAGCATGGGGAGTGTGAGTACACAGACTCATAGCTCTGAAGTGGGGGGGCTGAGGGAGGGCCAGGGACATGAGGGGTCTCCGGCGCACTGAATCGGGAGATGGGGTGGGACCTCCTTTTCCCCCCAGGTAACATAGCACTGCCAGCTTGGGGCTCCTGTCTTCCTGTGTTTGACCCCCTACTCCTGCCCCTCTGTTTCCGCTCAGCTTGCTCTTTGATGACTCCTGCCTTGACCCGTTCTCTTCCTGGCATGCACATGCTCTGGCCCAGCAGGTACGGTGCCCACACGTAATTCGGGCCCCGTGCTCGCTTCTGTTGCTCTGCTTGCTGTCACCTCCCTCTGTCTTTGCTTTTCTTCCTGGGGTGGTTGGGGCTTGTAATGCAGGACAACCTGTTCTGAAGCCCACTTCCTTAAGGTCTGTCTGTGTGTCCCTAGCTGGAGCAGTTCAACGTGGAGAACCCATCAACCAGCCTGGTGCTGGATCCCCCTGCCTTTCCCGAAGGGCCTGGATTTTTAGGGAGTGAGGGATCAGTGAGTGGTCCCCAGGATCCTCATGTCCTCAACCACCAGAACTTGACCCACTGCTCCCGCCATGGCTCAGGACCCAATATCATACTCCCAGGTGAGGAGACATGGGTGGTGGAGGAGATTGGAAGAATTGACAGCTTCACCGGTGTGGTGGAGACTGAGGGGTTTGGAGGTGTGTGGCATGGGATCCTACCTACCTGCCTACCTCTTCTACACACAGGAGACTCCTCCCCAGGTTTCTCTAAGGAGATCGCAGCAGCCTTGGCTGGAGTACCTGGCTTTGAGGTGTCAGCATCTGGGTTGGAGCTGGGGCTGGGGCTGGAAGATGAGCTGCGCATGGAGCCATTGGGCCTGGAAGGACTGACCATGCTGAGTGACCCCTGTGCCCTGCTGCCTGACCCTGCTGTGGAAGATTCATTCCGTAGTGACCGGCTACAGTGAGGGAACTTTACTGCCATCCTTCTTCATGGCCCTGTCCCCATCACTGTCCTTTTCATCCCTTCCCCCTGGCCAGTAGAGACTACTCTCTGCCCCCAGATCCTTTTTCTAATATGAATGAAGGATCCTAAAAATGAGGAAAGGGAAGGGGCCTGAGCAGGTGGCTCCTGTACTGTACAGAGTACTGTACATCAGCGGGCCTGGGGCTCAAGGGAGGCTGCAGCACTTGGAACTTTGAAAACCGTCTGTCTGGAGGGCAGAGCCTGTTGGAAAGCAAGGCATAGAGGGGACTCTTGGAGGCAGGGCTTGTCCAGATGAGGGTGAGCGTTACCAGCCCTTCCCCATCTCTCTTCCCCTTGCAATGGAGGAGAGAGCCAGAGTGGATATTATTTTTTATTAAATATATTATATGTTAATAAAAAATCCTAACAAACCTTTTGTGTGTTTGGCTGTTTGATAGGTAACTGGGCACCTAAGGAGGGTTGATGCCATAAACTCTTCTTTTATGTTGCTTTTTTAAATTAATTTTATTTTATGTGCACTCGTATTTTCCTATGGGTGTTGGGTCACCTGGAACAGGAATTACAGACAGTAGTGAACACCATGTAGGTGCTGGGAATTGAATCCAGGTCCTCTGGAAGAACAGTCAGTGCTCTTAACCACTGAGCCATCTCTCCAGCCCGTTTTTTCTTTTCCTTTTATTTTTTCTTTTCTCGAGACAGTTTCTCTGTGTAACAACTCTGGCCAGGCTGGCCTGGAACTCAGAGACTCAGACATCCACCAAGGCACCACTGCCCAGATTTCTTTTACATATTCCGGGCTACCTGGAAGTTCTGCCTGATTTTCTTGCCTCGGTTTCCTGAGTGCTCAGGATTATAGGCACGCTTTCATCCTTTCAGCGCTATTATGGTTTGTGGAGGACCACCAGCCTTAGATTTGTGACCCAAATTGGACACGTCCTAGAGCCAAAACAGACTTCACCGATGGCAGCAGGAAGTCACCTTATGTGCCCTCATGTTTGTCCAGGGGAGGGGGCACCCTGACTGGCCAGACAAGTTACTCTTCCTCAACCTCAGGCCTGGGGTAAGGAGATGGCTGTAGCCCCGGTCACGTGTGTTTGTGGTATAATAACCTCAACTCTCTTGGGGGTAGCTATTCCCAGTATAACCGTAAACTCCAAGGAAGTAGGTCTAGCTGGCTCCCCTCGTCCATGTTCCCAGGGCATTATTGTATATGAATTCACCCACCTCACTTGGAAGACAATCGTTTAATGTAGGTTTGTCAGCCTTCACCGAGCATGGTTGAAAGGAGTGCTGCTTTCCCCCACCTCCTCTATTCGGCTTCTTGCCTCTCTTCCTCTTTTTCAATGCTCTTGTCGTTTCTCGAAAGGAGAACTGAGAACTTCTGGCTCTGGCTAGTGGGTTCTAAACCTGGAAGTGGGGAGTCACCTGGGTTTTCCAGGTCTAGGTCTTCAGGGCCTTCACCGTGGCACAGTGGCCACATCTGATTGTTGGACGGAGCACCGGCTCTGACTTGGGGGCCAACTGGGGTCAGTGTCTTGCTCGTCCGCTGGGTGGTGGGGATCCGCTTGGTTGCAGGGGGCCCTCCCAGCCACCAGGGGTCGCGCTGCAGGCGGCAGGGTGCTGGGCAGGAGCTAGCCAGGGTCACGGCCGCGGGCCCGGGTGGGGGGGGTGGAATAGCGGAGGTGCTCGCGGCTCTCGGGTTGGGGGGGTGAGTGTAGAAAGCAGGGCGCGCGGAAGAGCGCGGGGTCCCCAGCACCGGGGCAGCCGGAGGACCGCGCGGCCGGAGCTAGCGGCGCGGCAGCAGTCCCCGCGTGGCGCCGCGCGGGGACGCTGGGACCGCCCAGATCTCTCCACCGTGCCCGGCGCTCTCGCCCGCCTCATCTTCCTTCAGCCCAGGCGCGAGCGGCTCCCAAGTCGAGCGCGCCATGTCCGGGGCTGGATAGCAGCCCGGTCGCCCGCCGGCCCGCCAGCCCGCCCTCCAAGCCACCCGCCAGCGGGCCGGCTGGGGAGTCCCAGGGCAGGCAGGTAGGGGCCGGACCGGGCGGGGCGGCGGGCGGGGAAGGGCGGGCGGAGGGCGGTCGGCGCCAGGGACTGTCCCCAGCTGTTCTTCTGCGCTGCGCATCTGGTTCCGCTTCCTCCCTCCCAGGGAAGTGAAAGTGGAGGGGAGGGCGCCACCCGGAGCTAGCTAGCTGTGCCCGGCACCCTATACCCTGGAGCTCCCGCGGGCGCTCAAGCCAGAGCACCCCTCCTTCCCGCTAGGGTCACGCGGCTGCTGGCGCTGCTGCCGTCACGTTCTCGGCAGCCTGCGCGCGCTCCTCTCGGCCCTCTGGCCCCTTGCTCAGCCACCTCCCCCGCTGCGCGCCCTCTGCCCCAGCCCCGACTTCCCGACATCCGGCATGTGGGTGCTGGGACCTAGTGTGGCTCCACTGCCGTTGTTTTCCCCAAGGGAGAAGGGGCTGCATTTTATAGGACTCTCTCCTGGCTAGGTGAGGGTAGGCTTGTATGCACAAGTCCTGTTGGTCCGGAGCCACCCACTTAACTATAGAGGGTCTCATCTAACGGCTTTTGCCTACTGACTGGGGCACAGAGCTCCTATTGGCCTACAGTGGATGAGAGAGGGAACTGTGTCGTGGAGTTAAATCAGGAGGCTGACGCTGACTCCTGGCTTCACCTCAGATGTGGAGAAGCTCAAGCTAAATTTAGCTTGAGTTGGGGCATGTGTGTCCAGAGGCCAGGTTAAGAAGAGAGCTGACTTGGCTCCGGTTCTCTGAGGGAGGTTGAATAGACTATGTATCCTGGAGACGTTGGGAGTTTCCCTTGCCTTGCCCAGGGTCCTCAGTGTGGGGTTTGCCTTGGTCTGATGCTCTGCGGGCATCTTCCGCGGTGCTCTCCCCCTCCCATCGCTACCACACACCCATAGGCTGACTTCTGCTGAGCTGCAGCTTCCCCTTTGCACCCGCTCCAGGAAGTAACCTCCCTTCCCCTCTGAAGCACTCTCCCAGCCTCTGGCCCCTTGCAAGCCACCCACCAGGCTTCTTCCCACCTTCAGCACCCTGGGGCACCTCAGGACTCTTGGGGCTTCCACTCCTCAGGGTCAGGCCATGAAGGCAGGTGAGAAAAGTTACCAGTAGGCTGTTGTGGGCCTGATTCTGTCTCGGTCTGGGTGGCATTGGCATGGAATGGCTGGAGCTATCTCCCATAGTCCCTTTGTACCTAACTTACAGACACCTAAGGGTCTGGAGTTGAGAGCTTGGCCAACGTGGTAAAGTTAAGCTAGGAAAGAAAAGGATACTTGAAGTCTGAACAGAATCTAAATCTTGGGTTTTACAAGCCTTCCCAGAAACCTGTGGGGTCTTCTAAAAATATGAGGATGGTGATTTAAGAGCATTAGCTGTGTCAGAAGGTTCTTGTGGAGCTGCTACCAGAGCAGGAAGGCCAGAGACCTGTGAAAAGACTAAGTTAAGGTTGGGGTGGCCAGAGTGAATGATGGGACTTCAGGCCTTTACAGAAAACACTATGTTCTCTGAGATCTAACTGGAGGGGTGAAGAGGGGCAGGCCTTTAAAGGGCTAGGTGAGCAGTGGCATTTGTGTGATGTAGAGTGGCGTTTGGGTTCTTTGGGAAGAGGGAGCTGATGTCACTAAGAAGGAGGGACCTAGTGGTCTCTAAGGAGCCGGTGGGCTGTGAGAGTCTGGTGATGTCACAGGTGGGAGAGATCAGGATTGGCTGATCATCTACCTTTCCTTAGAAGAACTAGGAAGAGGAAAGGGGGGGGGGTCCGTGGGAACCATGGGAACACTAGCCTCTGGTTGCCATGGGAACACTAGCCTCTCTTGCTTCATCTTTTTCTCAATTGACCATTCCAGATGCCGTGAGTGAAGGGGGGGCCATGGCTGAGGAGCGGCCTCCCCGATTGGTGGATTATTTCGTGGTGGCTGGGCTTGCAGGAGATGGAGCACCTATGCCTGAGGAGACCTGGGTTCCTGAACCTACTGGGCCCCGGCGCCCTCCTAGGCCAGCGGAACCTATTACAGATGTGGCAGTCATTGCTAGAGCACTGGGCGAGGAGGTGCCCCAGGGCTACACGTGCATCCAGACGTCTGCTGGTGGCCACCCCTTGGAGCTCAGTGCCGGGCTCCTGGGTGGAACTCAGCCAGTCATCTGCTACCGCAGGGGGCGTGACAAGCCCCCCCTCGTTGAGCTGGGGTGTGTACCCCTATCCATGCTGGCACTGGGGGGAGCTGGGAGGGACTGTTGAGTGAACTAAGAAGAGGTAGTGATAAGGGTTGAGAGGAGGCACAGGGGATGGGCTAGAGGTATGAGAGGAGGGGTTTACTGCCTGTGCTGCTGCTTACTAGCCAATGAGTGCTTCTTTAGCAACTCCTCACTGGCTGGTTTGGGATATCAAGTGGATAAACCATGTGAGGAACTTCGCCAAGAGTCTGACGGTTTTGGTGCTTACTCAAGAACTGGGGAGGGCAGCCGGGTGGTGGTGGCTCATGCCTTTAATCCCAGCACTCGGGAGGCAGAGGCAGGTGGATCTCTGTGAGCTAGTTCCAGGACAGGCTCCAAAGCTACAGAGAAACACTGTCTCAAAAAAAAAAAAAAAAGAACTGGGGAGGGCATGGCTTGCAGGGATGGTTATTGATTGAGAGGTAGAGCCAAAGGTGAAAGAAGGAAGGCAAGGATCCTAGAAGACAGAGTAAGTAGGAAATGGTGGGCTGTACTACTAGCCTTGGACAAGGGTGAGAGAACATGGCAAGTTTAGGAGAGCAGGTAGGTGGTAGATCCGGTCTTTCTATGCTGACCTCTTGATGTCTGTGCTCTCTGTGCCAAGGGTGTTATATGAAGGGAAGGAACGTCCTAAACCTGGCTTCCAAGTGCTTGACACAACACCATATAGTCACTCAGCCAACTTGGCCCCTCCAGGCCCTGGGCATCCTCGCACCTACCTCATGTACCGGCGGGCAGCAGAGGGGGCAGGGTTGCATGCCCTGGGCATCACTGACCTTTGCCTGGTTCTGCCCAGCAAGGGTGAGGGCACTCCTCACACTTACTGCCGGTTGCCACGCAACCTCAACCCTGGCATGGTGAGTGGTACTGCGGTATTGATAGCTAAAACCTGGGCCATTGGTGTGTAAGGGTGTGGACATGGGGAACAAAGGGTATTTGGGAACCAAGGCCACTGACACCAGAGCCAGATGAGAGGTGGCTTGGCTGGGAGGACTGGAATTAGGGGCAGCTTGGAAGACAAAAGACACCCAAAGGGTGGTAGAGAGAGAAGATGGGCCCCAGAAACCTTTGTTAGTGATGTGTCTGCTTATCTCTTGTCGTTTCTGGGGCAGTGGGGCCCAGCAGTGTACCTGTGCTACAAGGTGGGCCTGGCCAAGGCCAACACGCTGGTGTATGAGGCAGGTGAGTGGCCCTTTTGTCCTTCCTATCCTTTGACCCTCCATGGTGCCTCTTGGTAAGTTCAGTGACCCCAGAACTGACTTCCCTTTGCCATCTAGCCCTTCTCTGGGATCCTCTAGTTTCTTTACCTGGAATCTAACGGATCGCTTCACTCTAATATGTGCTTTTCTGCTGGGGTACAGAGCTGCTGGGCCGCTACCCACAGGAAGACAATGAGGCATTCCCGCTGCCCGAGTCAGTGCCAGTCTTCTGCCTGCCCATGGGAGCCACTATTGAGTGCTGGCCTGCCCAGACCAAGTACCCAGTGCCCGTCTTCTCCACCTTTGTGCTCACAGGGGCTGCCGGTGATAAGGTGGGTGTGTGGGGTGTGGTACGGGGGCCTCACAATACAAGAACCCGTCTGATCATCCCTATACCCCTGCCAGGTGTATGGTGCCGCCTTGCAGTTCTATGAAGCGTTCCCGAGGGCCAGGCTGTCAGAGAGGCAGGCACGGGCACTGGGCCTGTTGAGTGCCGTGGAACGGGGCCGGGCACTGGGAGGCCGAGCGGTGCGCAGTCGGCGCGCCATTGCTGTGCTGTCCCGCTGGCCAGCCTTCCCAGCCTTCAGAGCTTTCCTCACCTTCCTTTACCGCTACTCCGTCTCAGGCCCCCACCGTCTGCCCTTGGAAGCGTGAGCATGGCTTTCCTGACACTGGGGAGTTGTGAGGCATTAGAGAGGATAAATGGGAGACACTAGAATGGAACTGGGGGGGGGTACGCTGAGCCCCCAGGAGACAGGGCTGCTCTGTTTTGTTGTATAGTTTGTCCATTTAAGCTACTGGCTATGGGTAAGTGGAGCCTGGAATCTAGCCTGCACTTGTTAGTTGGGGCTTGGCTAGGTCTACGTAGGCTCAGCACAGATCTGTTCTTATTTTTATTTATTTGTTTATTTACTCATGAAACAGGACTTACTGTTTATTTACTTCCAGCCCCGGGTGGCCTGGAACTCCATATAGACCAGGCTGGCCTCAAAGTTACCGAGGTGATTTCCTGAGCGTTGGAATTAAAGGCGTGCTCCACCACGCCCAGTTTATTTATTTATTTAAATTTTTTTGTTTTGTTTTGTTTTGTTTTTCAAGACTGGGTTTCTCTGTGGTTTTGGAGCCTGTCTTGGAACTAGCTCTTTAGACCAGGCTGGTCTCGAACTCACAGAGATCCACCTGCATCTGCCTCATTTTATTTATTTTTTTATTCTTTTTAAAGATGTTCCCATTGTAGCCCTGGCTGGCCTGGAACTCATTGTGTAGATGAGAGGATTTCAGGCAAGGGGATCTCTCTTCTAATCTACATAAGGCCTATGTATAAAGCTGATCCAAGGCAAGGGGCGGGGTTCAGGGAGCAGTGAGGTCTTGAGAATGTGTGGTGGGATTGGTCAGGGACAGACCGAGGAGTCAGCCTCACCTTCTCCCTCTCTCCCTAGGCACATCTCCCACTTCATTCACAACGTCCCGTTCCCTTCCCCACAGAGACCACGCATCCTAGTGCAGGTGAGAGGTGAGCCTGGGGCTGGGCTGATGGAAGGAGAGGAGTCGGCAGGAGCTGGCCATGAGTATCCTGACCTGTGGCTCCTCTCCAGATGTCTCCCTATGACAACCTGCTCCTCTGTCAGCCTGTCTCCTCACCCCTGCCCCTCAGGTATGTGCCTAAATTGGGGAGAGGGACACCTTTGGCGACATGGGTATAATAAGAGGTATGGGTACGGCTGCTGAGACCGTGGCAGACTGGCCCCGGTGGCGTCTGTGTCCAGCTCCCGAGTCTCCTGCTGATCCTTCTCTCCCTTCACGTCCCACAGTGGTGCTAGCTTTCTGCAGCTGCTGCAGAACCTGGGCCCAGAATTGGCTATTACGTTGCTGCTGGCTGTGCTCACGGAGCACAAACTGCTGGTCCACTCGCTGCGGCCAGATCTGCTCACCAGTGTCTGCGAGGCCCTTGTCTCAGTGAGTGCCACCTTATCTAGTCTACTTCTCCAAAGTTGCTCTTTTCTGGTGTCCCTCCATTCAGAACTGGGTTCTCCTTTTCCTGCTGTAGGGAGAGGGTCGCCTCTCTGCCTGGGTGTGGTTGTTACAGACTGGGTTTTTCTTCGAGCTTAGCCTCACCTCCTCAAGGTCAGGGCCCTGTGCTCACTGGTTCTCACTGCCTGGTGCTTTAGATGATCTTCCCACTGCACTGGCAGTGCCCCTACATTCCGCTGTGCCCGCTGGTGCTGGCGGATGTGCTGAGCGCTCCTGTGCCCTTCATTGTGGGTATCCACTCCAGTTATTTTGATCTGCACGACCCACCTCCTGATGTCATCTGTGTTGATCTCGATACCAACACGCTCTTCCAGTATGAGGCTAAGTATCATTTGTGGGCGAGGGAGGAGAGCATGCAAGGGCTGGTGTGTGAGTTCATGTTGGCTCAAAAAAGACCTCGTAGAAGCTTCATCATCCTTTCTCCTTATGTTATCTCTTAGAACGGAGGAGAAGAAGCCCCTCTCTGCTAGGACCCTGCCTCGCAGACCATACAAGCTTTTGCTGGCCACACTGACGAATCTGTACCAGCAGCTGGACCAGAGTGAGAAGCCTATGGGCTTGAGAGGCTGGAGGCTGTTGTTGGCCTCCGATCTGCAAACTGAGGGGAGGGTCCAGGGACCAATAGATCTCTGAAGTGATTAGAGGAGTTGGGTTTGGTGGGAGTGAAATAAAGGAGGAGGGGCAGGGGAGCAGCATTTCTGAGCCCATCAAGAAAGGTGAGCCTGCAGTTCACAATCCCAGAGAACCTAGACTACCCTAAGAGAGACGTACAAGGATCTAATCTACATGGGAAGTAGAAAAAGACAAGATCTCCTGACTAAATTGGGAGCATGGGAACCTTGGGAGAGGTTTAGAGGAGTGAGGCAGGGAGGGGAGCAGAGAAAACTGTTTTTGGGGATGGAGGCATCTGTGTGAAAAACAGGACGAGGCCAGCCCTGTGGGTGCTAACCTTGACTCTTAGATGTTTTGATTCCCAGCTTACACTGGACCAGAAGAGGAGGCCTCCCTGGAATTCCTGCTGACAGACTACGAGGCAGTGTGTGGCCGCCGGACACGCCTGGAGCGGGAAGTCCAGGGAGCCTTTCTGCGCTTCATGGCTTGTCTGCTCAAAGGCTACAGGGACTTCTTGCGTCCCCTCACCGAGGCCCCCTCTGAGGGGTCTCGTGACGTCGACAACCTTTTCTACCTTCAGGGTAAATAAGACAGCCTGTCTTTATAAAGAGATTTGAGGGAGGGCATGGTTAGGGGCTGGGCTCCGAGAGGAAAGCAGAGAGGGACCCTGACTGGGAGACTGGGAGCGCAGAGACTGAGTGTTCCTCCCCTCCTCTGGTCTTGGAGGATAAGGGCATGCAGGTGAATGTGTCCTGCTGTCTGGGAGCCCTTGGTGTAAGGTGGACGTAGTGATCCTGGTGGGGAGCAGCAGTCAGGTACAGGTCTATTGAAGGACAGCTGTGGTGTTGGAGAGCTGAGCTGGTCTGCGGGAGAAGTGTGACTTTGAGAGCCATAGATCCTGAATGACGAGAGCTAAGAGCTGGGTACAAGTACAAGGGGAGAGGGCTGTGGCAGATAGAGAACTGTGGTAACCCCTTTGTGACCCAGCCTGACCCCCCAGGTTTCCTCAAGTCCCGGGAACGCTCGAGCCACAAGCTGTACTCCCAGCTGCTGCACACACAGATGTTCTCACAGTTCATCGAGGAATGCTCTTTTGGCTCTGCCCGCCATGCTGCCCTTGAGTTCTTTGACTCTTGTGTCGATAAGGTATTGAGCCTTGTCCCTTCTGTATGTACCAACTGCCACCGGGTTCCTCCTGGTTGTCTTGGTTATCTCTAGTCCACTGCTAACTGTGTTTCTCAGCGTGGCTGTGATGGACAGCTGGAATTAGACAAAGCATAGACAATACAACTTGTGCAACCAGACATGGTCGGCTTCTTCTGCTTTACTGTCCTTTCATTCTTGACTTTTCCCCTCCAGATGGCTCTCCAGGACTCCTTCCCCATGAACGTGTTTTTCTGGGAGACACCATCTTTTGGGGGTCCCTGGCTCTGTTAACACTAATCCTTTTCCCATCCTGTTCCAGGTCCACCCAGAGCAGGAGAAGCCTGAGCCAACACCCTTAGTGGAACTGGAGGAGCTCTCAGGAAGCGAGCTCACTGTCTTCATCACACCCCCAGAGGATCCCCCAGTACTGGAAGGCAGTGAATCTGCTCCCCAGTACTGGTAAGACTGTCTCCTCCTCTCGTCTGTCCCAAGGCCCATGCTCGGCCCTGTGCTAACTGCCCCCATGTTGCCTCTTCTCTCCAGTTACGATGGGTTTCCAGAGCTAAGAGCTGAGCTATTTGAGTCTCCTCAGGAACAACAGGGAGCGCTGCCTGTGCCCGGCCCATCCCGTAGTGCCCCTAGCAGTCCTGCGCCTCGCCGAACCAAACAGGTAACTAGCAATAGGCCGCATAGGGGAACCTGACCTGGTACAATGGTTTTTGCTTCGTGAGGTTACTAATGCTTATCCCATAAAACTGCTGGGAGGTTTACATAAGCTTGGTATATAAAAAAACAAACAAAAAAACCCAAACTGTAAAGCTGGGCATAGTGATGCATGACTTCAGCAGTTGGGAGGCAGAGGCAGGCAGATCTCTGAGTTCGAGGCCAGCCTGGTCCAAGTAGTGAGTTTCAGGACAGTCAAAGCTACATAGTTAGACCCTGTCTCCAAAAACAAACAAAAAAAAACCAACAAAGTGCTGTACAAAAACTAGCCTTTGTTACCATTGTCATTTGCCATCAGGAGGAGCCGGCTACGTCTTGCAGGGTGCTACCCATGCTCCAGGGCCAGGCTACCCTGCCCACAGAGGCACCCAGGAGGTTGTAGGTTAGACAGTGCCTCAGCCATCTTACATCCTTAGAACACAGACTGTGTCTCAGGAGAGTGCCGCTTCTCACATTGTCCTGCACTCAGGAGGTTGAGGCAAGAACTGGTGTTTGAGTCCAGTCTAGGCCACACGACAAGACACTATCTCAGAAAAATATCAAGAGAAAAAAATATTTGTGCCAGGCAGTGGTGGCACATACCTTCAATCCCAGCATTGGGGGGGGCAGAGGTAGGGGATCTTTTTGAGTTCAAGGTCAGCCTGGTCTACAGAGCGAGTTCCAGGACAGCCAGAGCTGTTACACAGAGAAACCCTGTTTCAAACAAACCAAAAGAAATAAAGATTTGTGCTGGCCTTGGCAGGGTCTTTACCTTGGTGTGTCTTCCCTTGCCCCACCTAGGAGATGAAGGTTGCACAGCGAATGGCCCAGAAGTCAGCCACTGTGCCTGAGCTGTGGGCCCGGTGCCTACTAGGTCACTGCTATGGATTGTGGTTCCTGTGCCTGCCTGCCTATGTGCGTTCGGCGCCCTCCCGGGTGCGAGCCCTGCATAAAGCCTACCACGTGTTGCGTGAGATGGAGAGCCGCAAGGTGGTGCTCCCTGATGAGGTAGGTAGGCATTTGCTACCCGTGTGTTCCTGCCCACCCCTAATCCCAGCAAGGGTGTGTGGCTCTAGGGACAGAGGGAAACTTGCTGGAGACCGGGTAGAGTGGAGGGGCAGCCAGAGTTGAGGATCTGCTCCGCCACAATCAGAGGGCATGAGCAGGTGCAGGGTTAACCGTGGAGACCGCAGGGCATCCAGAGCTGCAGAAAGGAGCTGCAGGGAGCCAGTGAGTCCTCCGAGAATTAGGAGGCTGGAAGAGGGTGCTTGCTGAGACTTGGCGACTTGGGTCGCAGTAAATCCCTTACATCCTGACATCCTGTGCCTCTCTTGGCCTAGGTGTGTTACCGGGTGTTGATGCAGCTCTGCTCACACTATGGGCAGCCCGTGCTGTCTGTGAAAGTCATGCTAGACATGCGGCGGGCAGGCATTGTGCCCAACACCATCACCTACGGCTACTACAACAAGGTACTTAATTTGGGTAGGATGGCAGTCTGTGCTGGGACCTGGTTTAGAGAGAATGCTGTTCTTTGACAGCTGCTGCTGTCCCCGTTCCCTGGTCCTGTAGTCACTGTCATCTTCTGTGCTTTCGTGTTGCCTTTGCACAGACAGAAGGCTTTTTGTTTAGTTTTGGGTTTTGGTTTTTCAGATTTAGCTACTTTGATTCTTTACAACAGCGTTAAACTCCATGCCAGACACTGTTCCAGATACATATTTTAATTCATTTTATCCCCACAGTGCCACAGGGCATAGAATGGTCATTCTCCCCTATTATAGGAATTGAGGTTGCAGAGAATTTGTAATTTTTCCCAAGTCCCACAGTAAGCAAGTTAGTGAGTCAGAATATAAGCAAAATTATATCCAGAATTCAGCCTCTTAACCATAATACAAACTGCCTCCTGTTTTTCAGATAAGGAATAGTCAAGCTGTTGAGATTATTTCTTCAAAGCCATTCAGTTTACAAATGGAGTCTAGCTGGGCATGACGAAGCACACCTTTAATACCGGCATTTAGGAGGCAGAGGCAGGAGGATCTCTGTGAGTTCAAGGCCATCCTTGGTCTACAGAGTGAGTTCCAGTGCAGTACATAGTGGGACCCTATATCGATAGTTGATAGATAGATAGATAGATAGATAGACAGACAGACAGACAGACAGACAGACAGACAGACAGATAATGGATGAATAGTAGAGACTAGATACACTTTTCTCCATTACTCCATTGTTACTGATAATGCCTCAATTGGGGCTTCTCTTTCTGGGTGAGCTATTGGCTAGATAGTCCTAGCCAGCATGTTTAGAGAAAAAGGTGGTCCCTGGGGTCAGGATGGGAGATAAGGCATCACTAAGTGGGCATTGTGATTGACAGGCTGTGCTGGAAAGCAAATGGCCATCTGGTACACCGGGTGGACGCCTACGCTGGGCCAAGCTCCGGAATGTTGTCTTGGGGGCTGCTCAGTTCCGCCAGCCCTTGAAAGACAGACGGCAGCAGCAGCAGCAGCAGCAGCAGCAGCAGGTGGCTGTGCATCAAGAGTCGGGCAGCTCTCAGACAGGTGGGTAGGGACTGGCCAGATAGCTGCGGTGCCAGACGTGATGGTTCAGACCTGAAGTCCTGCCACTTGGGAAACTAAGACAGGATGATTGACTGTTGCAAATTCAAGGCCACCTTGTGCTACATAGTGACTTCCAGGCCAGATTGGAATACATAGTGGGAATTTGTATTAAAAGAAAAAAAAAAGTTGGGGGAGGTAGTGGTGGCACAATCCTTTGATCCCAGCACTCCTGAGGCAGAGGGGGACAGATCTCTTTGCATTCAAGACCAGCCTGGTCTACAGAGTGAGTTCCAGGAGAGACCCGGACAACTAGGCCTGGCAGGCCTTTCTGTGTGTGGATAACCTGCATTTGTTTGGTAGCAGAGGGATAAAGTTCTACGGGGGAGAAACCCTGCAAAACCCAGGTCCACCCAAGGGGCCATTTCAGTCTGTGCTTTCTACAGAACCCTGTCTGGAGCGCCCCTCCCCAACACGCCCTCTTCAGCGCCAGACGACTTGGGCAGGGCGAAGTCTGCGGGAGCCATCCTCACCCACCGGGCGCCTGGTCAAGAGTGGCAGCCTGGGCAGTGCTCGAGGGGCACAGCCCACTGTGGAGGCTGGTGTAGCACACAGTAAGTACCCTTATCTGGCCTTCCTTCATCCTCCCATTGAACTCTCCTAACAGCTCTTCAGTAGAGAAAGGGAGACTGGGGCTGTCTTTAGGGCAGCTCCCTGTACCTTAGTAGGCCTGTAGGCCCTTGAGGCAATCTTGCCTAAGTGTTATGGTGAGTTGTGATGCTCGGGTTTGTTGGTTTATACAGTTTGCATTCTAGACATTGTATTGTATGTGTATGGGTGTTTGCCTGCATGTATGTCAGTGTGTCACCTGTATCCCTGGTACTCATGGAGGCCAGAGAGGGTATCCGAGCCCCTGGAACTGGAGTTACAGATGGTTGCGAGCTGCCATGTGGGTCCTCAGGGCAAGCAGCCAGTGCTCCTGACTTCTGAGTTCCGCTGCAGGGGTTGTGTTTACTTGTGGTGGAGCAGCGGGAGGAGCGCAGGACTCCATCTCTCCATTTTCTTTGACCTGCAGTGATAGAGGCCTTGGGGGTCCTCGAGCCCCGTGGATCACCTGTGCCTTGGCAGGATGGAAGTCTGTCAGACCTGAGTCTGACGGGGGAAGAACTGGCACCTGGAGGAAGCCCAGGGGGCTCTGGCTCAGCCCTCAGTACCCGCTCCACCGAGGCCCTAGAAGGGATAAGTGGGCGGGGTCCCAAAACTAGTGGCTGTCAGGAGGAGGTGGGCACCCCCAGAAAAGGGCTGGGTGCCCGCCTCCAACAGCTGCTCACCCCTTCCCGCCGCTCCTCTGTCTCCCGCATCCCCCAACCTGAGTTGCCCACTGACCTTCCTCCTGCGGCCCGCCGAAGTCCCATGGATAGCCTTCTGTGGCCCCGAGAACGCCCTGGATCCACTGCTTCTGAGGTAGCCAATGAGAAAGGGAGAGGAGGGCTGCTGACTGGGAGAATGCCCCCAAAGGTGACTCTGAGAGTGGCTGAGAGCAGCATCCTAAGCGAGAGAAGCAGAGGACCAGCTGACTGTGCTTTCTCTTGTAATGGCAGAGTTCCGCCTCTCTGGGCAGTGAGTGGGATCTTTCAGAGTCTTCTCTTAGCAGCCTGAGCCTTCGCCGTTCCTCAGAGCGTCTCAGTGACACCCCTGGATCTTTCCAGCCTCCTTCCCTAGAAGTGAGCATACCCCATCCACACCATTGTGCTGGAACACACACAGCTCATATCCACCCACTCCCAAAGGCAGGGGAAGGGGAGGAGGTGGAAGGAGGCCTGGCTGAGGTTTCGAGATGGAAGGGGCACGGAAGGGCCTGGGCTTTGGGGCCCTGGAATCAAATAAGGCTCATTTCTTGGGGTCTCCTTGCCCACAGATTCTGCTGTCCAGCTGCTCCTTGTGCCGAGCCTGTGACTCCCTGGTGTGCGATGAGGAAATCATGGCTGGATGGGCACCCGATGACTCTAACCTCAATACAACTTGCCCCTTCTGCGCCTCTTCCTTTGTGCCCCTGCTCAGTGTCCAGACCCTTGATTCTCGACCCAGGTGCCCAAAGCAGAAAAAGCGCTGTGGGAGGGACAGGCCGATGGTGCTCCAAGAGCTGACACCTCCCGCTGTTTCCCTGCAGTGCCCCAAGCCCACAGTCTGCCCTTGCTGGTGCCAGTGGCAGTCAAGACGCCCCTGTCCCTGGGGGTCCCGGCCCTGTGCTCAGTGACCGGAGGCTCTGTCTTGCCCTGGATGAACCCCAGCACTGCAATGGCTATGTGGGGGTAAGGGCTGAGCCAGAGGAGCACGAGGAGGTGGGAGTGTGTTGTCTGTCGAGGGGAGATCAGATGGGTGCCAGGTAGTGGACGAGGGGCAGCAAGAGGCATTTGGACTTGCTGAGTTATTGGGAAATCACCTCTGGGTGAGGGCCATTCGTATATATGTTCTGACCACTGTCCTGCTTGCCCACAGAGTGCTTCCCGGAGAGTTGAGAATGGGGCGTGGGCATACCTGAGCCCCTTGGTACTGCGGAAGGAACTGGAGTCTCTGGTGGAGAATGAAGGCAGTGAGGTGTTGGCATTGCCTGAATTGCCCGCTGCCCACCCCATCATCTTCTGGAACCTCCTGTGGTATTTCCAACGCCTACGCCTGCCTAGTATTCTACCAGGCTTGGTGTTGACCTCCCACGATGAGCCTCCACCCGGCCAGGTCAGTGTCCTTGTGTAGTCCTTGCCTCCTGAGAGCTTCCCTCCTCCTTCTCAGCTCTTTGTCTCCTAGTCCTCTCTGTCCTTACAGTGAAGAAAAGCCATTTTACCAGGTACATTTGCCTCTCTGACCCTCCATGTCGTCATCTGTCAAATGGCATAAGCAGGAACCTAATGGAATACGTGCTTGATGTAGTGACTCGTCCCTAAAAAAATGGCTTAATGTTTTCCTGTTTGTTCCACCAGTATTCATCATACATCCTAGGGCCCAGGGCTAGGTATGTAATAAAGTATCCAAAGTCCTCATTCGTAAGAACTGGTAGATGAGAATTTCTTTCCTCAGGATATGGTGGCTCCAGCCTTTAATCCCAACACATGGGAGGAGGCATGCAGGTAGATCTCTGTGAATTCCAGGCCTGCCTACTCTGCATAGTGAGACCCTGTCTCAAATACCAATAACACCACAAATAAGTTCTTTCCCTTTCTCTTTTGAACATTGTCCGTCTGTCCTTTTCTTGTCCTCTGCCTCATTCTGACTTTTTCTTCTTATCTCAGCCCTCCCAGGGACCATCTCCTAGGCTAACCCCTGACCCAGCCTCTGTGCATGTACGTCTGCTGTGGGATGTCCTGACCCCCGATCCCAACAGCTGCCCACCTCTCTATGTTCTCTGGAGGGTCCACAGTGAGTTGGTACTTGATCTAGGAGTGAAAGGGCCGGGCTCTTCATCTGGAGAGCTTGGTGATCCTGGTAACCCTTCCTTCCTTTCGTGCAGGCCAGATCCCACAACGAGTAGTATGGCCAGGCCCAGTGCCCTCGTGTCTTAGCTTGACATTGCTGGAGTCAGTGATGCGCCATGTTGGACTTAACGAGGTTCATAAAGCTGTTGGGCTCCTGCTGGAAACTCTAGGGCCCCCTCCCACTGGCCTGCACCTGCAGAGGTATGATGCGCTCACCTGGGGGCCCTCGGCCTGGCCTTGGCACCTCTTTTCTTTGATACTCTTCTATGTTTATTACAGGGGAATCTACCGTGAGATCTTATTCCTGACAATGGCTGCTCTGGGCAAGGACCACGTGGACATAGGTAAAGGTGCAATCGGATGCTGAAGAGAAGGGATGTGGGACCAGACATGAGAGGAGGTCCTAATGCATCAATTTCCATCCTCTACCCTAGTGGCCTTCGACAAGAAGTACAAGTCTGCCTTTAACAAACTGGCCAGCAGCATGGGCAAGGAGGAGCTGAGGCTGCGGCGGGCACAGATGCCTACTCCCAAGGCCATTGACTGTCGAAAATGTTTTGGAGCACCTTTGGAATGCTAGGGACCCTTAAGCCCCCCTCTTCTGCCTTGGGTGGAGAGGTGAGGTAGAGTGGATTCTAGACATAGCCTGACTCCCTCTTCCTTTCATGGAAGAATTTGAATCAGGCTGCTCAGCCATAGGCTCCAAGTGGAAATAGCAGGAAGAGGGACTCACTGATACCAAAAGTCACAATTCCTCTATCTCCAGCCTGCCCAGTTTGTTCATGTTGATTTTGAGGAGAGAGCTGGGGAAGTTGGCACAAGTCCATTCTTTCTCCATCCTATTCCAGGGCCTCCTTCCCAGGGTATCCTCAGATCTGCAGTGTCCTGGGAGACTTAGAAGTTTTTGTTTTAAAAAACAACTGGAAACTCTGTCTCGGAAAAAAAAAAAAAAACAACTGGAAAGATTTTGAGCTCCTGAGCCTTTGCCCCATGGGAGGAGTCTCATCCCCACTTCTCTGGCATTGCTAAAGGAGCCCAAGGCAATCCTAGCATTTTATTTTATTTAGTTATTTATTCTGAGGCCACAGCTCCTACACTTATGAGATTCTCAAGGAGTGTAAAAAAGAGAAGGGAATTAAGTTTGTAACTCCTTGAGAGCCATGCACTGAGACCCAGAGGAGTCCCAAGCTTCCCTTGGGAAGAATTGGTGCCTCTTCTAGTCCCGATCCTTCTAGTCCACTTCACCTTGGGAAATGCCTCTCCGGTCCATGGCCTTGACCTGTGCAATAAGGATTGTTCTCTGCAAAGTTTTGTTGGATGTAAATATAGTAAAAGCTGCTTCTGTCTTTTTCCCTCTGCCTCCCATTCTCTGGATTTGGGGTGGTACCTTATCTTTCCTTGCTGCACATTCTCTCCGCTGTGTTTCCTTTCTTTGTAACCATCAGGTACATCCTTGCAAGCTTGGTTTATAGGAAGCTGTTGGCGCAGAAGGGTGTATCCAGTGCTGGCTGTGGTGGTGCCAGCCTGCGTGGCACTTCCGGCCCTCCCACACAATCACCCCCTTGTCCCTCATCTGTACCCCACACAAAGACTCCATTCTCTGGGGGCCCTGAGCTCATCTTTGCCTTATTTCCTCTCCTCCTGTCCCCTCCCTGACCCCAGCTTCTTCTGTACCTTCACAAAGATGATAGCTCTCCCCACTTGTTGCCATTTCCAGCCCTCTTGTGTATCAGAAGCTCTGGCCGTCCTCCCAGCTCTCCTTAGTGGCTCTAGCTCCAGACAGTGCTCCTCACTGTGATCTAACCTTGGAGACAACAATGGAAAGAAAGAAGCAAGGAGTAACAGTCTTCCGTGTGTGAGTGCCAAGGAGATGGGCATCATTTTTCCTTAGTTTATTTTTTAGATTATTTTATGTGTATATGTGGGTTGTGTGCATGTTGTAGAATATGTATGTATACCACATGCATGCAGTACCCACAGAGGCCAGAAGAGGGTGTTGAATATCCTGGAACTAGAGTCACCATGTGGATTGTAGGAACAGAACTCAGGTCCTCTGCAAGAGAAGCAAGTGCTTTTAACTATTGAGCTGTATATCTCCAGTCTTCAACTCCTTTTAAACTTGAAAATTGTGTGTGTGCGTGTGTGAAATATGCAGGTGCCCACAGTGGCTCCCTTGGAGCAGGCAGTTGTGAGCTAGCTGCCTGATGCGGGCGCTGGAACCTGAACTTGGGTCTCATTCTTAACTATTGCGCTGTCTATCTAGCTCCTCAGGCATCATTTTTCTAATCTCAGGCCCATCTAGAATTTTCTCTCTTTTTCTTGTGTAATGAAATAAACACAGGAAGCAACTCCTAGGAGCTACAGAACCAGTTACCAAAGGGAATGAGCTAAGAAAACAAATGCCTTGGGGAAGAAGGGCAGGGGCAACCTTGGAGGACAGGATTTACATAAAATGTCAGTGCAAATCCCTAGGAGTAGCGAGTGGCCAAAGAAGTAACTCAGGCTAGGCTTGGCAGGACAACTTTAATCCTACCATCTGCTTAGAGGCAGGCATTCTGTGAGCTCTGGGCCAGCTTGGTCTATATTATATTAGGAATTCCAGGCTAGCTAGGGCACTTTAGTGAGACCCTGTCTTTTTTTTTTTTTTTTTT